AGATCGGTAGCGGTCGAGGAACAGCCCGAAAACACTCACAGAGGTTTGGAGGAGATGTGTAAGAAAGTCGACAAACTATGTGAGCTACTAATAAACAAGGGAGTCAGCAACACCCAGACAGAAAACCAGAGAAGATTCCAGGACATAAGGTGCTTTAGAGGTGGCAGGAATGGCCACATTAAACGGTATTGCCGCGTTCAAATGCGATCCCGTTCACCATCCAGAGAACGTAGGCACCAGGAAAACTAAAATCAGTCAATACTAAGGGGCGAGTATTGACTGGGGAGAACAGAGCCCCAAGGATTTTTTCCATTAGAAATCTAGGAAGAACCGCTGACAGTTTGGTGATCGACGGGAAAGTCAATGGAAAGGGAATCCGAATGACAGTGGACACTGGCGCTATGGTTTCGTTGGTGCGGGCTAACTCAGTGCAAGGATTGAAGCTGGTGCCTCTGAGAAGAAGAGTGTGTTTACGTACAGTTACGGGGGAAATGGCCGTTGTACGGAGAGGCTATCGTCGAACTGAAGTTAGGAAATTTGAAGTTCCAGCATAGCGTTTTAGTGGCAGATATTGAAGATGACTTCATCTTGGGCATGGATGTGATTCGTCAACATGGATTTTCGTTCGATCACCGAGAAATATCTTAAATATTGGATATGAAGAGTTCATGTTATCTCCAGACGAGGGACCAGGCAGAATGGATGTAAGATCAGCGGAAACTGTGGTGATACCTGGTAATACCGAGAAGATCGTATTCGGTAAAGTGGAGAAAATCGCTGGGTGCTGTGTTGGACTGGTAAAAAGTGGCGACAAGAAACAAGATAGGTACTTAGTAGGAAAGTCATTGGTGAACACCGACAAGAATATACCGATCAGAATTGCGAATGTTTTCCCGAATTGTGTCAAGATTCAAAAAGGTGACAAGATAGCCATCTGCGAACCTGTAAGAAGTGTCACCCGATGTGATGAAGTGTCGTCAGCTGTTACACAAATGGCATCCAAAGAAACACTAAAACATCTAAGCAGCTTCATGGGATCACTAACATCTGAGGAGGGAAACAGAAGGCTAGTTCCTGCTAAAGCATGGCAGTATTTTTAGAACAACAGTGGAAGAACAGTTTTGTGACTGCCGGATTAATACTGGTCATGCTCAGCCGATTCGACAACGTCCTAGAAGGGTGCCCCTTTCCAAACAACAAGAAATGGAGACAATGGTAGATAAGATGCTAGAAGATGGAGTTATCGAAGAATCATCGAGTCCATGGTCATCTCCTGTTGTTTTGGTGACGAAGAAAGATGGTAGTACACGATTCTGCGTGGACTATCGGAAGCTCAATGACGTCACTAAGAAGGACAGCTACCCACTGCCACGTATAGACGACACGTTAACCACACTGGCAGGTTCGTGCTGGTTCTCCACTCTCGACTTAAAGAGTGGATACTGGCAAGTTGGTCTGGACGAGGAAGACAAAGAAAAGACGGCTTTTTCTACAGGAAACGGACTATACCAATTCAAGGTCATGCCGTTTGGATTATGCAATGCTCCAGCCACTTTCGAACGTCTCATGGAGGTGGTGTTAAGAGGATTAACTTGGAAAACGTGCTTGGTTTACCTCGACGATGTATTGGTTATGGGAAGAACTTTTGAGGAGCATTTGCGAAATTTAGAAGAAGTTTTCGGCCGCATACGGAATGCTCACCTGTACTTGAACCCGAAGAAGTGTAGCTTATTCCAGCGACAAGTGGAATTTTTGGGCCATGTAGTCTCAGCAGACGGAATTTACACCGACCAGAAGAAAATCGCTGCAATCAAGGATTGGCATAAGCCTCGCGACAAACATGAACTTAGAAGTTTTCCGGGTTTATGCACCTATTACAGAAGATTTGTCAAGGGATTTGCCAATATAGCTGCACCCTTACATAGACTTACAGGTGATGAGTCGGCTACGAATGGAACACCGATTGTGATGTAGCCTTTGGAAGACTTAAGGCGGCTTTATGTTCAAGTCCTATTCTAGCCTACCCGCAACAACAAGGGAGGTATATCCTGGATACCGACGCCAGCAATATCGGCATAGGTGCAGTGCTATCACAAGTGCAAGATGGCGAAGAACGAGTGATAGAATATTACAGTCGAGTTCTATCCAAACCAGAAAGGAATTACTGCGTTACCCGGAAGGAGCTGCTAGCAATTGTGAAGGCAGTTGATCATTTTCATAAATATCTGTACGGCCAAGAATTTTTAATTAGGACAGATCATGCGGCTCTCAAGTGGCTTATGGAGATGAAACAACCTGAAGGTCAAATAGCACGATGGCTCGAGAAGCTCCAACAGTATCACTTTACCATCCAACATCGTGCTGGAAAAATGCATGGTAACGCAGACGGTTTATCCAGAAGACCCTGTCAAACCGATTGTAAGCACTGCTGTAAAACGGAACAACGTGAAGGCACTGTCATGATAAGGAGTTTTAAACTTGGAACCGATGAACAGTGGACGACGACACAATTGAGGAAAGATCAAATGGAAGATCCAGACATCGGAGCAATACTACGGCTCAAGGAAGGTAACGGCGAGAGACCGCCGTGGCAGGATATTGCGGACAGAGGGCTAGTTTTCAAAGCTCTCTTCTCGCTGGAATTCACTGGTTATTGAGAATGGATTGTTAAAGCGCACGTGGGAAAGTGCGGATGGCAGGACAGTAACAACTCAGTTACTGGTACCAAAGAAGAAAGTTACCCAGGTATTGGAAGAAATTCACGGTGGTAAAACTGGAGCCCACCTGGGAGTAAACAAGACCTTGAGCAAGCTGAGAGATCGCTTTTACTGGATGGATTATTGCGAAGATGTCAAGAAATGGTGTCGACAATGTAAAATTTGTGCAGCCAGCCAAGGACCAAGCACTCGATCTAGGGGAAAAATGAAACAATATAACGTTGGACTACCATTCGAAAGAATCGCTGTTGACATTGCAGGCCCTTTCCCTGAAACGCACAAGGGCAACAAGTACGTTTTAGTGGCGATGGATTATTTCAGTAAATGGCCAGAAGTTTTTGCCATTCCAAACCAAGAAGCATCGACTGTAGCTGAAGTATTAGTCAATAATGTCTTAGTAGATTTGGAATTCCTTTAGAGCTTCACACTGACCAAGGAAGGAACTTCGAGTCAAGACTGTTCCAGAAGATGTGTGATCTGCTTGGTATTCACAAGACTAGGACAACAGCTTTACATCCGCAGTCTGATGGGATGGTCGAGAGATTCAATAAGACCATTGAAGAACATCTCTCGAAAATGGTGGATGAACATCAAAGAGATTGGGATCAGCATATACCACTATTCCTAATGGCATATAGAAGTGCAGTTCACAACACCACCGGACTTTCACCATCGAAGATTTTATTTGGTCGAGAATTACGGTTGCCTTGTGACTTGGTGTTCGGATCACCAGACGACAGCACCACGAACGTAGAGGACTACGCGGATGAACTGAAGGAAAGGTTATTGGGAATTCATAAGGCCGTGAGAAGTAAGATTACGCTAGCCAGTGACCGGATGAAAGCTCGTTACGACCTCAGAGCAATTCTACGGGATTTCAACAAGACGATAGGGGTATGGTTGTATAACCCACAGCGCAAGAAAGGAAGGTCCCCAAAGTTAACTCCAGCATGGGAAGGTCCTTATACAGTCATCAAGAGGATAAATGATGTTGTGTACCGGATTCAACGCAGCCCTAGAAGTAAGATGAAAGTAGTTCATCTGGATCGATTGAAGAGATACCAGACAGGAAACCTTTATCGGGACGATCAAATTTGAGAAGGGGGCAATGTCAAGGTGTATTACTGGTTGCATAACTGCATACTGCTAAAAAATCGCAAAGTGCATTGAGGAACCTGGCGCATTAGCCAGAAAGTAAAGAAAATCATAGAATTCTTTAGAAAAATCTAGAAACAACCGCCAGGGGGTATATAAGGCCCGCGCTTTGACAGTTGGACAAGTTTAAAAAGTTTGAAGTCTAAAGTCTGAAGATAGTCTGAAGTTTGATAATCCCGCAAATACCGTTAGAGTAATAGTAGTTGCATAAGTTGTGTTGTAAATAGTATAAGTTGTGTGTACAGAGTGAAACAAATAAATTCGTTAAGTATTTATCATGAGTTTAAATAGTGGACCCACGGAATCCGTAACAATATGAACAGATATATTCATATATATATATATTTGAGCAGGCTGACAAATATATTAATATTATAAATTTATATCTCAACACTTAGTTATTATATTTTATTATATTATTATATAACACTTAATTATCGTAAAAAAACGATATTATATTATTAGTATATATTATTATTACTATATTACAGTAATATACCATACTACAACCTAAACATTCTACATTATTCATTCTACATATTACAGTACTTGTGCATTTATCGTTGCCAAGCACCATAGAGAAGGAAATAATAAAAATCAGCACTCCGAAAAATTCATAAATAAATGTTTTTTTAACTCTAGAAGCAAACAGCTGATTAGATATAAATATATGATTAAATATAACGATATGAATTCTTGATTAATTTATTATATTTTATTGGGTTTTAAATTTTCTTTATTTTGTTTTGCCCTGTGGGTTTTGCTTACCGCGTGTAAAAAGTTTTCAAAATGATATTTAAAATCAAAGTTATACAAGTATGATTATACTATAGACGTTAATAGAAATAAAAAGGTTTTCACAATTTCATTTATTATGAATCACCTTTTCTTTCCAAAGTTTTCGATATCTTGTAATACCTTAAAATAAATTATTTTTAATTGTACAATACTTTTTTATTAAATATCTATAACAATACCTACACTATCACCAAGAAGTTAACAACAAATTAGAAAATTGAGCATATCTAAAATCAAAAATAAATAACACAAACTAGTGCTTAGTCTAAAATTAAATGTTTTCTTTGCTATAAAAGGTGGATTTAAAGAATGGCAACATTTTTTTTGCAGCAAAGCAAGAAGTTGAAGCAACTAATATTGATGGTTTGATAATGATTTTTGCGAAACTAGCTTTACAGCCAAAAAGAATGAGTGAAATATGGGGCGAATTTACGTCAGACAATTGTCCATCTTTAGCAGATAAACCCAAAATATTTTTATTTCAGGTAAGATAAATTCAATTCATTAGCATCTTACAATTAAATAAGTAAGATATACACACAATCTCAAAGTTTAAGGATATTTCAATTTTTGTCTTGTATTTTTTTGTTACCACCTAAATATCACGAATTTCTAAGTGCTAAAAAAATATTGA